TGATGCATAGCAATGCGAGGTGAGGCTAAGTTACGCATGGTGGCATGTGGCCACACAAGGGGAGGCTGGGGAGGCTGAGTGACACGTGGCAACATATAGACAAGCAAGGGAAAGCTATGCGGCGCATGGAGTCGCTAAGCGGCGCGTGGCAGCCCATAGCAACGCGAGCAGAGGTTAAATGGTGTGTGGTGGCGCGTGGCGACGCAAGGAGACGCTAAGCTGCGCATGGCGGCGCATGGCGACGCCAGGGGAGGCCAGGTGACACGTGGCGACGCAAGCTCCGCCCTCGGGGGGTGACGCGACGCGCGGTGACCTCCCCCGGGGGGCGGGGCGCGACTCCCCCCCCTACGCCGCTACTCACGCTCTGTCGCTCGGTGCGCTCGGTGCTCCGTCCTCGGCGCTTGATTAGTGAGGTCTGTGGGCCGTTGCCGCGCAGGCGCGTGGGGCGCCCCCCGTGGCCATGGCGGACGAGGAGCTGGAGGCGCTGCGGCAGCAGCGCCTGGCCCAGCTGCAGGCCAAGCACGGGGGAAGGGCCGGCCCGGCCCGCGCCGGCTCCGCTTCCCTCCTCTCCGCTCCGCCTCCCTTTCCTTTCCTTCCCTTCGCTCCGCCGTCGCCGTCGCTGTGCCGCACCGGGCAGAGCGGCGGCGCTTTTATCCTGTCTGGGCCTGCCCCGTCACAGCGGTTGCCGCAGCGCAGCGCGGTCTGTTCGCTCCCCTCGCGCCAAGGTTCGGCCCCGGCCCGGGAGCCGCGCCCGCCGCGTCCCTCCCTTGTTGCTGGGGGTAAATGCGCCCCGCTCTGCCCGGCCCTGTCCTCTCTGTGCGTCCTTGCCCCGCAGCGGGGATGCTGCGGGAGGTTCCCCTCGCCCTGTGTTACTGGCACCGATTTTAATCCCCTCAGCTATTGTTAGACTCGTGTTTTCCTGTATATCAATAAACATGAAGTGTTGTGCTCACTTGCCTCTGCTGTCAGCTGCCCTTAGGGTTTCATATCCCTGCCTTTTTTCCTGGAGGTTTAAGTGGCTGACCTCACATGTGCGGACCTGGAGCAGTCCGTGGATGATGAGTGCAGCAGCCCTGGGCATCGCAAAGCGGGAGCCACCGCTCGGGGCACGTGCTTATGTGCTGTGGCAGCCAGTTCTTGGTTTTACAATAAAATGGTCGCAAATGGTCCATGGTCAGGCAGGTTTATGTTAAACTCTGCCAGAATATTTAAATCTTCAGTCCTGTTTCTAGACAATAACAATTTATCCTGTTCCTGCCCTTTAGGATCCCTCTGGTGATCCATCACAACAGGAAGCAAAACAGAGGTACAAATGGGAGCTTGTTAATTTTGTCCTAAATCTGTTAGCATGGAGCAATGTAGTAACTGTTTTGACTACTTAATTTTTTTGAAATGCTTTTTTTGTTTTGTGTATTTTGGGAGGGGGTGAGGAAGGGGGAAGACTATGTCAGTTACTTAACCCCATCTTCAAAATACATAGAGCAACCTATGATAGAAATAGATACGAAAGAAATTTTGATTATAGGGTTGGAGAGGATCTCAAAAAGTCACTTACAGGAACAGAAAATATTCTGTAATCTTTGCTTTTTGGGTATATTTTAGGCACTTGACATTTTTTAATGTGTAACTAATCTTTCATTACAGGGAAGCAGAGATAAGAAATACTATTTTAGCTCAAGTTCTAGATCAAGCAGCTCGTGCAAGATGTAAGTATTTGAGTCAATTTTCTAATTAAAAATTCTCTTTTACTAGTGCTTCCCTGTGCTGTCTAAATTAGACACTTACGTGGCTGTATTAAAGAGCAGACTAGAAAATACTGTAATCGATGGGAAGATAAAACTGTTACAGCTTTCAAGTGATAATATCAATGGTTGGTGAGGATGGGGTTAACTGATATCTGAATATTTAAAATTAAATTTCATTCTCAAATTAATGATCACAGTGAGAGAAAAAAAGGTTAAACTAATTGGAAACACATTTATAATGAAAGTGACAATGCACAAGATAATTTTGTAGTGGCCTTTGTCATGTTTTTAGTACTGGTGAAGATACTTATTTTAAAATAAAATAAGCAGAGCTTGTTTTTTGTTGCAGTAAGCAATCTGGCCCTTGTGAAACCAGATAAAGCGAAAGCAGTGGAGAATTATCTTATACAGATGGCAAGATTTGGACAGCTACCTGGAAAGGTGAGTTCTATTTCTTTACTTCTCTCTTTCTTACATTTTTTTTTTCTATTTTTTCTCTATTCATTTTCAAACGTTAAGCCCTCAAAAAAGCGTATTTCATGTTTTCCAATACCTGTAAATTATCTACCTGGAAGAGATGGTTGAAAGTTCCTAAATATACATACATATTACATTTCTATCAGCCAAACACCTTTTAAGGAAAAGTTTAACTCTGTTGTTTGATATTAAGCGTCTCTCAGAACGTGATTACATGGCTTTTTGTTCTGCTTTCACAGGTATCAGAACAGGGTTTGATAGAAATACTGGAAAAAGTGAGTCAGCAAACAGAAAAGAAAACAACGGTAAAGGTGAGCTTCATTTCGTAGATGCTGTTTATTTTGTTTAAAAAATATGAAACGTAATCCACTATGAAAACAAAGGAGTAGAATGGTGCATGATTTGCACCATTTCCCTTGATTTCTGTTTACTACCCTCTTTCCCACAGTGGTAAATACTGGAGTTTAGTTACAGCCGCCCAAATTACTGGGTAATTTGCAGATATTAGCACTGGGATATCAAGGTTCTGTTGCCAGGGAGAACCATGTAAACAGTAAACCGTCCAAGTAGTGCACTAGAGAAGCAATTTTGGGTATGGTAAGTAGCAAATAGCTTGTGTGGATAGTGCTCTTAACTACTTCTCAGTCACAGTTCTGCTGGCCTCATCTGAATTTCAAGATTTTGCTAAGAAATGTCTGAAATTTTTCTTGGGGTAAATACCTGCCCAATGGTGAAGATATTGTCCCCTGGAAACATACTGTAGCCATTTACTGGGGAGGGGGTATTGCAATGGGAGGAAACCTGCTCCTGTGTGAGCTGCCATCATTTCTGCTTTGAGAATGCACTGAGGATTTTGTACTTCCTGTCAAATGTGTAAGAGTCTCACAGGCTTGCTCTGTGTTGGATTTGTTGTAAGCCTGGTGATTTCATTTCAAATATATATATATTTTTTTTTTAGTTCAACAGAAGAAAAGTATTGGATTCGGATGAAGACGACGATTATTAAATACACTGTAAGACTGTCTGCCAAACAACCTGCCTGGAAAAAAGGCATTATACTGTATCAGGCAGAATGAAAGATCTGAAAATGTTTACTTTTTTTTTTTTAATCTGTTATTATTATAAAGGCCAACAAGTGAACTTGTCAAATACATCTGAGAAGGGGACTTTGTAACTTAAACTTTTGTAGTGTAGGAGCCCGGAGCAGTGTGGGGCTCCCTGCTGCTTCCTTAGCATGAACGTTTTGTTTCCCCTTGCTCAAGGTGCAGGTTATGCTATCCACACGTGCACACCCTTAACTTGCTGCTGCTGGAGATACTGTAACATGAGGAGTCAAACTACAACATTGGGAATAGCTAGAAGTTTAAAGTCTGAATTACAGAAGCTCCTTTAGAAACAAGATTTCCTGAGCCCATGAAAGAATCCTGTTCGGCAGCTCACTAGCTCTTGAGTCTGTATTGGAAACTTAGAAAATAAAGTGTTTTGCTATCCAAGAACTGATTGGAGTTTGGAATTGGAGGATTTCTTATAGGAAGTCTGTGAAAAGAAATTGCAGCTGGCATCCAGCTGAACTGTTCCCCCCTGAAATAATCAAGCTCACACAAAGCAAGTTGAAGTGTAGCGTGTAATACAGCACTGTTCAGACACTTGGTATCATAAGTTCTTTAAACTACCTCCATTTTTATCGAATGGCTGGAATGTTTCTTATTTTGAGCGTTAAAAACAAGCAAGCAAAAAAACTTTTTTCCTAAACTCTGTAGCTCCTGCATGCATAAAACTGAAGTTGTGCTATACCTTTATTCAAAAGTATGTTTATGGAAAGAGGTAGGATGAACACTGTATCACTGTGTGGATAAACATTCTATCACCAGAACACCCTCTTCTGACATCACCTGCCAAGCCTGTATGGGTCCCAAGGCAATGCTTTGGGGACAAAATAAAATTCCTTAAAGGAGCACGAGTTCATGGTTTTTTTTTCCACCATGTGTGAATGTGACTAAAAAAGATGTATTGAATTCTGCTATCAACAATATAAGCTCTAAAGCCTTCTTAGGAGGCTGATTCAAAATGTCAGTTTTAAAGACAAGAAATAATGCTTCTATTTTCTAACCTTTCGGTGACTAATCGGCTTGTACAGGAACATATTTTGCAAACAGATCATAAGTTTCCTGCAGTTGACTTAGCTAGTTGACCATTTTGGGCTCATTATTAAGGACTTACTTATAAAACTGGCCTGATGCTGTTTCTGGTGGTGTTGGCTCATGTTCTATAGAACTAAAGATACAGCAGTATAATCTGTACTTGTACTCTGCAGTGAGATACCACCCATATTAAAAATCTAATAAACTGATTTTTCCTCATCTACCCTCACACAGATATGGCAAACCACCAACATAGGACAGAAGGGGGGAGAAGAGAGTCCTGCAGAAGTTCAAAGTAAATTCCAATACATTCCCCTCAATTTACATATAGGCACAAGATTAATTTTTCAAACGCCTACAAAACAAAAGGAAAATGGATAAAAGATAAAATGTTTTAAATAAGCACTCAAACAGCTTTTTCAAGAATTATTTTACTGCTTTTTCCATCATTTGGCACAAATCCCAAGGCACATTAGAAAAATCAGATTAACTCATAAATTATTAGAAAAATAAACACATTACCTTCATCTCCAAATGTTCACTTGGGCACTTTTTGCACAATTTACCCCTTAGATTTAAAACTTACTTTAAAAGAATCACTAGTATGTCCTGCAGCTTTGTACTTTCCCAGGCAATTATACCACAGTTAAAAGCAGAATTATTCATAAAAATATCTTATGAAATAAACTGCAAGCTGGACATGATAAGACAGAAATAAAAAACATTGTGTTTAGAAACACTATTTACACATTTCTCCTACCATAACCACTTTCAAAAGTTTTTAACTGAAAAATTAAGTCCAAAACTAAGCTGCAGTCTCATAAGGTATTTGTGAGTTTTCAGTTCTTCCACACTGATCACCTCTAGAATTTGTTTTATTCCAAAAAATGCTGTTGGGAGCTTCCATAATCAAGAAGCTGAACCGTTTAAATAGCAGTCAGAGAGGAAGAGGCCCCTAAGCAGCAGGTTTGCCTTGCCAATTTTACCCATGTACAGAATCATTTGTGTTTTTTTTCTAATGCAAATCATGCCAAAGCAATTTTACATATCTTTATACATACATCTTTCTGCCCCCCCGCCCTTTTTTTAATGAGGCTGTGGACAGTGAGTCCACAGCTCACAAGGTTTAGCTTCATCCAGCACACTCTACCTTTTCTCAGCATCTTGGCTCCTGTAAGAACTTGATCTTGCACAATCAATACCAGGATGCATTCAGATTACTTCTCGTCGTGTTTATAGCATGGATAAATCTCTAACATAGTGCCACAGATTTCATCAACTCTTGTTTTCCCAGCTGCTCAATATACAGAAATATATATTATAATGGCTTGCAACATTACAATAAAAATAGAGACCTGTGAATTACTTCTGGCAATAAATAGTATTTATCCAGTATATCTCTCTATATATAAATAAATATATTTATTCAATGTAGTGATAAAAACTGAAAATGCAAAAATTATTCAGACTTTTAAAAACAAAGTGAGTGGCTGAAAAATACTGTAGGATTTTGGCTGGTTTACCGCAGCATAAAACTTTCTAGTAAGTGTGAAGTACAGTAGGAAAGCAGTTTTGCTATCTGCATCCAAACATGTCTGTGCTGAGATCCATAACAAACTGACCAAATAGTTTTCTCCACAATCCCGGGAGGAGTCGGTCTTCCAAAGCGCCAGGAACATCGTGTTTGTGCCCAACAGTCATCCTGGGGTCCCATCGGGGGGCACAGCGCCACTGAATTCCTCCACACCCGGCACAGGGGTCTTGAAATGAACATCACCTGGTTCTTCAGCTCTTGACCTCAAATTCACACCTCCCCGTCTGTGCTTTTAAGGCAAGTCATCACTGCACTCTTCTGACTGTAAAGCACTGGGATTTCTAGGACTGCCTAAACCGCTTTCATCGCTGACATCCTCTGCTGAAAGCGGCACATCAACCGTGTGTCTTCGGTGCATTAGTTTACTCCTGTCAGGAGCTTCTCTCACATCACCATGTTTCACAAATTCACCACTGCAGCCTGTGTTAATAATCTTAACTTTGCTCTGGTCCAGCGTTTCAACAGCTTTTAACTTGGTTTTATCAAAGCTTTTAATAGCTAACTGTGAGGGTGGAAAAATAGGACATGTTAAAGCATTGTCTATTTTCTTCATTTTTCTTCATTCCAAAAAGTAAAATGAATTAGTCTTTCTGAATACAATTATCACATTAATTTCATGGAATTCTTGAGATAATGAGAACACAGCCAGTGATTAAAAATAGCTTGCTTTGTAGGCTAGTAATTATCCTGATTTACATAGAGGGAAACAAGGAGAAAAGAGGCTAACTTGCCCCAGGCTACATATAAATCAGCACCAGAACTGAAAAGATAATCAAGGCCTTCAGAAGCCTTTTTCCCCCCTGCACACTATCCTAGTATCATCCTAGCTCTTCCAAACACTCTTTTAATCCAAGTCTCAGGATGTTTGAATTTCACAGCCATTTCTTCTACCATTAAGAGTATTTTAGCACTAAAACAGCCAGATTGAACCAGGCACTTCTGAACAGTGAAAAACTGCTTCCAGATCTTCTCCCTCAGGGAAGAGGCCCCTTTAAGTCCCTCTTCTTTGAGACCCTCTTTTGGTCATTTCAGGTATTTTTGCCTCCCATTTCCACATCTGCTCCTGATTCTTCTTCTGCAGAACGTGTGGCCGCTTTGCAACAGCAAATATAACTAAGGTACCAAACAGAGTTCAGACTAATAACAGATCTTACAAGATAAGAGGAATTAAAGACAAACTAATTAGGATGTTGCTCTACTGAAATAATGGTAACGATACTGAAAAAGCTTCAGGAAAAGCTAATGCATGATTAAGCCCACTAATAATTTCGAGGTGCACAATCAGTAAAGCCCGAGCCACGGCGGTGCCGGTCGGGCACTGCTGGTGGGCAGGAGCTGCTGAACGCCCACGAACGCCTCAAGACTTGCTGCCTCCTGAACCACAGCTGTAAATTCCAAACACCACATTTAAAGTGGGGCATTATCATTAATACTAGAAAAAAATAATACAGATTTATGGCTGCCCAGGCAACATGCAGTTTGCTCTCTCCCTTGCAAGCAATCCCTTCCTCGCAGCAGGCTCATCATGCAAACCCCAAATTTAATCTGGTATTTCAGTGTCTAGCTATTCCTTTCTCTTCCAACCTTCTGTTTCAACCTACTGAAAAATTTCTCTCGTCAGAAGCATCTCTGCTTGACTACAGCTTTTCTTACATGCTGTAGACTTTTCAAACCTTGGTATATCCCAGATTTTGCTGGACAAGACAGACAACAAAGAGATGAAGCCTGCAATAAGTGACAAAGAATAAGAGGTTTAAGAGGTGGTAGAGAAGCACCATTGAAATTTGGACAATGAAGAAACGCTAACAGTTTAGGAAAACACGTCAGACCTTTTGGACTCACTGACCACCACTAATAAAGCATATTTTCTTTACTAACGTATTATATTTATAGCAGACAATATAAATAACTACTGTATTTTACAAATAATTCAAACAAGTATTTCCTCTTACCTGATGCAATAACTGATAATCAAAATTAGGGACACTTTTATCTCTTGTTATTGTTCTCCGTAAATGTTTTGCTCTAAAATACATTTTAAAAGAGTTAGATTTAACTACATAAAGCAACATACTTCAGCAAATCTTCCCATCAGAACTTTGTGCATTGCAAGTCCACAAGATGGCACTATCTCAACACAGAAAGACTATTACCCGACAACACATCCTTCCCCCCTCCCAAAGAAGATGCCCTGTTAGTATCTCACAGAATATTAGCACAGAATATAGGCTGAAGCTTAAAGAGCTCAGTCAGAGGCCAAACACTGCGTGACACTAACATATTAGCACAGAATATAGGCTGAAGCTGAAACGATAGTTTAAAGTGGTCTGGCATGAAAGTTCCTACCTTATGGCACAGCAAGTATTAGCACTGCGAGAACAATCTTAAGTAATTTTACGTGTCCCCGCTGCGGCACAGCGAGTCGTCCCGTGTGCTACCACCAGTGCCCAAGCCCCGCAGTATTCTTTTCCTCATCAAATTAATCATATCTGATGTGTAACGATGCCTGACCCGCTCTTAGCCTTTACTGTATGGTATATTTCTTTTGGAGTTAGGAGAAACAATAAACATACTTCCAAGAAAGCTTCTTTGCTTACTTGTTAAATCTGTTAATTGATTGGACCAGTTGCAGTTGTCTGCTTATGGGATCATCGGCTGGCTCACAGGGCTTAGAATTCACTAGGGGTTTAAAAGAACAGGCAGCTAAAATTACAACCGAGTCACGCTTCGGAACGAAACGAACACTGTTCTGAATCAAATTCAATTCGCATTGAATTTAAAATTCTACAGGAAAATCGTAATAGCAATCATCCGAATCAGGGTCACAATTTCTCTTTAGAAACTCTACAGCATTTCAAGTTGCAAGAATAAGCCTTCCTGATCAAATTAACATGTCTCGCCCAGCTTCTGAACAAACAATGCAATTCTGGACTTTGAGGCTCTAAACTCACATTATTACAAACCTGAATTAGGACACACATGCTATTACACCTTCTAAGTTATATTACTCCTGTTGCCTACGATTCTTCTAAAACTATTCCCATAGTTTTCCATTTTTCCACAGAAAGGACTGTTGTATCACTCATACCGTGACACATTTTCTTTTGTATTAATCAACAAAATACCAATAGTTTTCTTCATGGAAGCAGGCAGGCGTTAATTTGACAATCTAATTGAAAATCTACCTGGAAAACCCCGATGCTGAGCGGGACCTTCCTGCCCTCCGTCCCGCTCGCCCGGCTCACGGAGCCCCCTTCGCTACACGGCGCTGGCGGCAGCGGACGCTCCACGACGGGAGCTCTTGGCTCAGCACAAACCCCGTTACTGCCCCCGTCCCAGCCTGGGATCAGCCTGGAAACCCGTCCGACAAACCCCGGAGCCGGCACAGAGGAAAGACGGGATAAGCAAGACCAGAGGCTGAAGGAAGGAGGGAAGAGGCGAGGACAGACCAGAAGTAGCACCATCCCTTTGATTAAGTGTATCAAATATTTGATTCAGTCACACATTAATTCCCAAATCTCTTTTTATTTATACCAGTGAAAATACAACACACACCTTTTCTTCTTATCTTGATAGTAGCATGCTGCTCACAATCCTTTTCTCTCTCTTCTGATGTAGGTCCATAGCTTGGTGCTGTTTCCAGCAACTTAATGATATTTGAATTCTTAAATTTAGAAATTTCCATTTTCACCATTATTAAAAAAAAAAAAAAGAAAAAGGTCAGTACAATTTAGTATTCTACTCTATGCAGAGTGCTAATTGCTGCCAAAATGAACATACAACACACAAAAAAACCCATCTTTCTAAATCCAAACCTTAAATTACATGAGTTTGAGAAAGGGCAGAAACAGTGTTCCACAAGTTACACTGCACTGGAGTGACTATTTAGCTGTTATTTTAACCGTGTCATTTTTGGTTAAGCTAATTTATGAATAAATGGTGATATACCTACAGAAATTAAGGCAGTAGAGCATTTTAGGGCCAAAATACTAAATTTCAGCTGCTATTACTGCACACAAAGCTAGAATGACACTCTCACCTGCCATTTTTAAAAAACCAAAGAGTTTGGGAAAAAGGTAAAATTTAATGAGTGTGAAAACAACTTCATAAATTTAGATGTACCATATTCGGCACTGAATAATTTCACGGGCGCATGGTTTTAAGTTTTTTCTGAACAGATGGTTTGTTTTTCTGATGTAACGCACCGAAGAGGAGCGCGGTCTGTGCGCGGCACTCACCGGCTCGGCGGCGGCGGGCGGCGGGCGGGGCCGCTTGCGCGCGTGCGGCAGCGCCCCGTGCCGCAGCAGCAGCTCCACCAGCGCCTCGTTCCTCCCCAGCACCGCCTCGTGCAGCGCCGTGTTCCCTTTGGCGTTACAGAGGTTAACGCAGGCTCCAAGCTGGACAGCAAAATAAAGCCCCAGTTATCAGGAAAGAGCAGAATGAAATGGAGAGAGCGCGTTAAGTGGTATTTTTCTCTCTCCTTTTAACGTATGAATGAGAACAATGTTAAATGAAACCTTGTATACACAAAAAGCAGAAATCACGCTAGCCATCAGCAGTTCAATGACTATATTATTTCCTCCTCTCTCATACAGTATCATTGATCAGCTCAATTCATTTCTTTGTGCCTGTCCTACATATTCCAATTTTACGAGAGATTTCCCCCCTCCTCCAAAAAAACCCACCTGCACAAATAGCCTACATTTCACAACTAAGCAACAAAACCTGCCACCTGCCACAAGACAGTTCCATGAAAAGAATCAAAAGTAAGGTAGTACTTACCTAATAAAATATTTAATAAAAAACATAAAGGAAAGGGGTTGGAAAGCATAGAGAGAGGAAAAAATACTCTCCATTTTTTTCCAGGGAAGTTTTAAAGGAGAAATATGCAACTAAAATACTAATCTTGAGTAGTGGATAAACACAAATACTGTATGAAAAATATTATTCTGAATAGTCTGTTTTCCATGATCTTACCTGCAATAACAAGGCTGTAGTCTCATATTGACCATTCGAACATGCATAAATTAATGGAGTATTTCCATATATATCCTTCTTATTTTGTTTAGCATTGTAATCCATCAGACACTTGACTACCTATAGGAGGAAACACCAATCTTTTAAGACACTAGCTAACCACAAACATGCAGTGAAGGCCCTGCTTTCCAAGCATGTTTGGAAAAATTTAGGTAGTGGAGAATGAGAAATATAAACAAAAAGGATGGAGAAAACAGGACTCATCTTAGCCAAACAGATAACCAGAAATATCTATTCGTACCATACTGATTTTCATATTTTACCTCAAACTTCTAAAAAAAAAACCCTATACAACTGAGGGGAAAAAAAAAACAGAAAATGAAAATATACTGAAGTGATTCAAAGTACATGAACATGTAACCCACGAGAGACACACTCCTTCCAAGGGATGACCTCATGCATGGCACTGAAAGCAAAACATCCAGGAAAATCTAATTAGAGTATTCTAATTTTACACTCAACGGAGTTATTTAAATGAAGTCTGTTAGCAGGAATTCTGCTAAAAAAAAGCTCGTTATTACAGGCTTATTGCTTTACAAAGCTTTAAGCACTTTTAAATACAAACTTGAGCTATCTTAAAGAAAAATTACACAGCACTATTCAGCTGCATGAGGTGTATGACACTCTCATCAAAACATGATTTTAAGGCACTGAGACAGAAAAGGTGCCCAAAAAACCTGCTTCTGTAGAAAAATTCACTTTCTCTCTGAGGAGATGAAAATTAAATAAGAACACAGAATCCCCAGACTGCACTAACGTTGGTTTCGTTATGCTGATGATTTCACAGAACAGCTTTTTGTCAGAGGTTAAGTGTTAAATGGCTTGCACTTACGACAAGGATCGATTACCTGGAAGTGACCCTTCTGGCAGGCTAAATGAAGGGGAACTGCATGTTTTGCATTCTTGGCGCTGATATTGGCTCCATTTTTCAACAAGAGAGAGACAAGTTCAGAGTGCCCATGCAGTGCGGCCATATGCAGCGGTGTAAAACCATCTTGATTCGAAACATTTACTCCAAGCCCATTAGCAGGGATCCTTGAAAATCTCTTGAGGAAAATACACAACAAAGCTAATTACAATAATTAATTATTCTACTTTCTATTGATCAAAAAGCAATCAAATACACAAAACAGATATAGTATTACAAGAACTACTGCCATGGGGTCAAAATTGAGATCTTCAGGAGGATGATTAGTAAACCAGGGCAGGTTAGTTGTATTTTTCAAAGAAACATTATTTCCCGGCCCCACTCCTTCCCCCAGTGCAAGAGTTTCCTGTAGAGGAATTCTAGGCAAAGGACTCATTAGGAAAGACTAAAGCTGCACAGTTTGAGATGCATTTAAAAAACACAGTTTCTATACAGCTGTTAGAATGTCCTTACACATAGAGAATAGGTGTTAATATTACGAATTATGTATTTTTTACACATAATTTTATGATCTTGGAAACAGACATTAAGCATGTATTTTACTGATGAGATATCAAGAATAAAGCACAACTAAAATTAATTTTGTTCATTAGAAGAACATTGACCCAGGGCACAGGTGCATACAGGGTATCAAGACAAGGAAACTACCTGTTCCACAGCTCACACTACTACAAAGCAGCCCACTTTACTCCTCTCAAACTGCACAAGTGCCTGACACTCACAGTGGTAAATAACCTCTCATTCTGCCTATCCTCACATGCTTTAAATGCGCGCCTACCTAAGACAGTGGCAAAATTAGTGAACAAGTTCCTTCTACTCCTCCTTCAGCAGGCAAGTGGGCAGCCCGCGCCATTCCTGCCCGTTGCCAGTGAGGGCAGCACGAGGGCCTCACGCTCTGCTACCTTTGTCTTTAGCACATGATTGCACTGGTCAGGGTAAAGGACACAGGTTGCCAGAAAATAAATCACTTTGTGAATGGGAAGCATCTACTGACTAGCATACTCTCCCCTGGATAAAATAAAAATAAGGTAGCAATGAGGAATTCAGAAGAAATAAATTAAGCCGTCTCACAAGTTTTCTGTTCAGTCTTAAAGCACGGTTACTTCAAAGTAGCCAAAACACTGAAAAATCATGTTTAGTTTCTTTTACCATGAGTTATCCAGTTATGGAAACCTTCAGACAGACATAGTAACAAATATTCTTTCTGACGTGCAAGGTATTGGTTCTCTGTTTCCAAGAAGCTGGAATCATGCTCTACTACTATATGTGTGTATCTATCTATACACATAAAACCTGATTTTTCTCTACTCTCTGTGATAAACAATGGAAAAAGAATTATATTTAAAAATGCAATTATATTTTAGCCTTGAAGAGCATTTAGACACTGTCTGTATGAAAGCCGTTAAAGCCTTTTTTAAAAAGAAAAAATATGTATCAGCATTACATTAATTATAGGAATAGCAGCTACTCCTAGATAATCTGATTATTAATTAAGTAGATGCTCTCTGACAGGTAAAAGTTAAAGTCATAAGAGGTGCAAAAGAAACTGAGGCTTAAAACAAACAAAAACAAACAAGCAAACAAACAACAACAAAAACAGACCCCTCTGACTCAAGCCTTAAAGAAAGTGGTTTGCAGACCCTAAAAGCAAACTGCAAAGGTTTGGCACTCCCTTTAGGTACTGAAACAAACTTCTGAACACTGGTCCTGCAAACAAACCTTACCAAAGCCTAATTAAAAAAACGCTTCATATCATCATCATCAACTGTTATGGTCAGTATATATTCAGCTCTTTTTAGACAGAAATGTAAGGTGTAAAGCAATGTAAGGGCTACTTCCCTAGAGCTCAGAGTTACCTTCCAAAAATACAAATTACACTGGTTAAAGAATATTCCAACCTTTTGTGCTGGGCCACATTTTGAGCACTGGCATAACGGATGGCAGAATTCTGGTTTTGCTGGACTGACTGTGTCATCCTCATCTTCTAGATCATCTTCCATCCATTCCAAGAGATAGCGTACCTGGCATAAAAGGCAAGTCCTTTTTCATAAAACCCAAAGGATCCATGTCCAAATAAATTTGCATATGTACTCATGTAAAATTCTACACACACATCCTTGTGAATAACTCAGAGACACTACACAGAAACACCTCCCAGCATCAGCTCCCCGCAGGCAAAATTAAAGTTATTGTTGACAAAGCAGCTAGAAAGTTCACCAAGCACAGCAGTAAATTATAAATGACTTCCTGCTGCCTAATCAAGACCTCAGTGTTCAACTCTGCTCTAACCGTCGAAATCCTTTTAGCTCAGATGAAGAAGATTAGACAAAGATTTGTACCAGCTCACGTCAGCGTTAATTTTGTTTCTTTACTTGCTTTAACAAATATAAGAAGTGACAGGGATGATGACATTTTACCACCATCAAAAATTGTGCAGGGACATTGACTTGTCTTAGACCTCTAACTTCCCAAGCTTGGCAGTTTTATCTTGTCTCAATGTACAAGCCTCATTTTGGAGAGCTGTCAGTCTCTTCAGCGTATTTAGTCTCAGAGCTCAGGGCATCCTGTGCAATCTGCAATCACTGACTCTCACAGAGTGCTAATTTGACATTAAGATCTATGCAACAACAACAAAAAAAAACTATTTAAGAAATGCACTTTTACACTGAAGTTCATAATCCACTGTGAACTAAATACATCTTAGAACTACAGCAACTGTCCTAAGTCTCCATTTTCACCCACCTGGCAGTGTCATACCTGACACCCATCTCCTCTAACATCATGAGTTTGTATTATGCTTAGTAAGCCAAGACTTCAAAAAAATTACATCACAAGTTTGGCAAGCACCTTTTCCAGGTACACCGAAAAGCTGAACACAGGCCAAACAGCCGGCAAGACTCTGAACAGGCCAGAAGGCATTTCAGGGCACTTGTCCTCGCTCCCTCGTGCGTGGAGGGTGGCACTCAGAATCCGCCCCATCTTCTGGGACTTCCCACACACAGTGACTTACAGGATGACATGGCAGGTATGAAGCTGTTACACACCTCACCTCACGGTGTTTTATTGTTCAGCAGCTTTTAGGAGCGCCAGCAACTCTGCACCAACCCCTTTGCAAGGGCAGGACAAAATCTTTATCACTCGTCACCATCGCTTTGCCTGCGCTGAACAGTGTCGTGAAGCCAAGTCAAGCAACTGATTTTGCTGAAACGGAGATAAAAGCATCTGCACTGGATTCACAGCCTGAGCTGGGTGGTACAAGCTGATACAAGAGCTCACCAGAGGCTGGTCAGGAAAAATTGGGAAGAAACCCTCCCAAAAAGTTGCTGCATAACTGAAACATATTTTGGGAATTAAGTTTAGTCCTTTCTAATAGGCTTTTCCTCCACACTGTCCTCAAATATGTTTTTTTTCTCCCCACTATAGCTCCTAAAATTCTATCAAAGTGGGCTAAATTTTACTTTCAACATGTACATTGGATAAGTCTATTAACCATCATTGATTAACACCATTAACTCCAAACTAAAAACTTTTGAAATTTACAGGTGCTATGATGAAGAAAAATATTTTTTTAATTTCTGAATAATCACGGCAAAGTATTTTTTTCAAAATCTTTTCAGATTTCCTTTTATTCCTCCTTTTGCAAAGCTCAGGTAGCTGTCAGAGCAGAAATCTGTAATGGTGCTAATGACCCTACTGTTGTTTCTGTTCCTATAGAAACAGAACCCAGGCTGTCAGAATAAGGTAAGATTTTTTAAATAATATTTTTATTTTTAAATAGATAGACAAGCTGCAACTTTTGCCAACTACCTGGAAAATTATTTTCATAACGAGCATTTCTACATAAACTTGAAAAATGGGGAAAGTAAATCGACAAAAAATAAGCTGACTTTATCATCCAAATGCACAGTTTTATGCTGGTGTATTCCTTGATCAATGCTAGATACTAGTTTTTCAGCTGATGATAGCAATATGCTCTATGTTCCTTAAACATTTTTATGATGCAGTTTAGATTTTTTAATAAATCTGTGAAGATTTAATTGTAACACACTCACACTTACTACCTGCATGTGCATTTTAACCAGGAAGATGGTAAATGCCACCGCTGCATGTGTAGCTGTCTCTTGCAGTGACTTACAGGCTGACGAGGAAACAGTTACTGACATCAAGTTAAGTTATAAACTAATATAATGATATTTACACAGACCTTTGCTGCAGTAGTTTCCTCTATCAGTCGATAAATGAATTTTATCCTATCATCTAACTGGCACAAAACACACTATAGAATCAATATGCATTTTACTGTGTACAGAGCCGCACGACACTTCATTAACCCCTGTTATTCCTACTATGTGTCACCCAAATGAATTTTTCAGAGCAGAAATCCAGCACAGAAACCCTGCACAGTCACACAGAGTTTCATAATTCTGTCCTGTGAACCACAAAACAAACAAGAAATGCACAACCTTACACATTTTTTCCAAATATAATATTTCCACAATGCCTGTGTGTCTTCTTCATTTTTTCTGTAGAGTAATTTTGGACCTTATTTTTCCAATTTCCAGAAGTAAATGGCAATACTAACTCAAAAATATATCAAGACAGATGGTAAGCATCACAAATTATAGGCCAAATATTCTGAAACTGGTATGAGCATAGTCATCAACTGTCTACTGGAAGTGAAATACAAAAAAAGTTTTTTTTGCAAAAAAAATGTTACCAAGCAAAATTCTCATTAAGATGACCTAGTCATAGTTCAGTCAGTAGGGATACTTTCCGTTTTCAAAATCAGAAGGGTGCCCAAATAAATATAGTTAACATACTTCAAAACAGCAGTCTTCTAGCTGGTAATGTGTTATACTACTCAGATTTAAGCAATTTCTTTTCTGTAAGAGGTCATGGAATTGTTAAAATAATACTGTAGGTAATTTGGGAACACAGAGTGAATATTCTTGGTAAAAAGTGAGGTGAACTTGATTAATCGTTGCTCAACTAAGCTGATGATACAATCTTCACTTAGTGTTACTAACAAACAGCTTCCCCATTTTCAATTAGGTGAACTGGATTTCAGTAATATTCAGAAGGCATTCTAAGACTTACCATCTCCAGATCTCCATCAGCAACTGCTCTTAGGAGTTTTTCCACCTATTCATGAAGAAAACAAAATTGTATTTGCTTTGTTATTATTGGTATTAAGCTGAACTCTGAGAAGTCAGTGCCCTTCACTAACCTCCTAAGCTTGAGCGACAGGATTACTGCTGACCCAGCTCACGTTTATTGATAAAGGTTTAAAGGAAAGGGAAACAAATTCATTTATAAAATGCAAAAGCTGTGCAAGGTCATGGCCATCTGATGGTCTCTGACTTGCTTGGCTAAAGACAAGCAGTACTCACCTAACAACAGGACACATACAGTCCACACATAAGCAAAACCATGTAAGCTAATACACCACATTACTGTGCAGCAGCTGAGCACATACTTTTGTTGTGATCCTAGCACTGAAAAATAAAACAAAATATAAAGACTCAACACAAACTGCCACCCTGATGAGTACCATAACTGTTTGGACCCTTCCTGTGCTATGCTACCAGAAGCACATACATTGAGAAGTTGTTTTATTTTATTAGTTGATAAACAACAATTTAAAACCAAGAAGATGCTTTCCAATTATCCAGATGCACACCTGCAGATCACTGGTGTGTTCCTAAACTAAAAACAAACATCTAGAAATCTAACTTAAATACAATTACTATACAATACATTATTATTCATACAATGGAAATAAATGGATACTCCTTCAAAGTTCAGGGCCTTACTTGTGTTACTAATGGCAATTCACACTAGTAACACTGGAGTTTATGTTTCACCATTACAGCACATCAAGTAGTCTTCATCTTTCTGGAAGGGTAGGGAAGACGGAAATTGGTTGTTTATCTTTGCTTAGCTGAACACAGTCCACTTTAGCGAAAAGTGTTTTTTTACCCTGTAGCTCTAAGTCTATGAATTGGATAAGCTGACAGCAAAAAAAAATCTTTTAATTTTTAAAAAGCATGTATATATATTTTACATATATATATCAAATGTTAGCGATCAGCTCTACATTTTGTACATAAGCTAGTAGCTTTTTCTATAACACTTCTGGACGGAATCACACCTTTTTTTTGTTTTATGTGTATATGCTTAGCAACAGTAAGTGACCCAAAAGGCCCTGATAACTTCTTTCTAAAGTAAGTTCCTTACAGTTCCAAATAATTGCCTGAGGCCTTAACAGTGAAGAAATATATAGCATCTGTTATGAAGGTTTTATATAATTAATTAAGAATATTTAGGAAAAAGTCTGCTACAGGCATTTCCTCATCTTTCCAGCAGGCTTTCTCAACCCTCCACTGAAGAGTAGCACCCTCCCTCAATGCAAATACAGAAATGGCCATTTGATGAAATCTACTGCAATTCACTCACCTACTCGGTTTCTGGTTTTGTTGCTCTACAGAAATTGTGCTGAAAGTCACAAGTACTAACCATAGAGGACACGCCTGGCTCTTCACTCTTTCTTTTCCAAGTTGTGAACAAGCCAGAAGACACACCATGACTGACTCATTTCAGCAAAGAGTTTAATCCACCAAGCAGTGGGGATTCATAAAGATCACACTGTGTCCCCCTAATCCATGGTCTAAGCCCTGGAAGTCTGGGAAGCTGGCAAGGTCAGTTTTCCCCCAGTGACAGATTCCTTCATGGAGAACTCTCAGGATTAGAACCCAGTTTCTTTACTCAGTACTAATAACAACAGTGAGCCCATGTGAAACTTGGCAAGCAGTAATGAGCTAAAGCTGGTTTACAGAAGAGGTCATTAACCCCGAGGATCTAACGTATAAGCTGCTTGTAATCTTTTTCCCTGAACTCCAGTCTCAGCTTCAGGTGTGATAAATTTGTCCCCTTAGGAAAAAAGCAAATCCTCAGTCTGCCATTAGGTGAACTTTTATGTACATTATATCTTATTTACAGACCTTGGCCCTGTATGAACAGGGAGGTGCTGCTACACCAAGTCTCTCACAGAGTAATTGATAACAAGGGGTAAATTAATTTTGTCCAGTCAAACAGAATTTGAGATGTCGTGTGAGTGAAAGACGAGAAGGAAAAGGCAGAGGAAGGCATGTTGACCAGTTTGGTCACAGGAAATGAGCAAATGTATATGCAAGATTCTCAGTATATATTATATATTTCTTCAAATGTTACAAAGTGTCCTATGCCTACTCTGAAAGCTGGTCTTACATTCTAGGTTATCGTCCTGCTTGCCAGTATGGTGCTATCATTCTATTATGACTGAGAGATTTTGTAAGCTGACAATAGTATTTAATTCCTGCATAGCAAGGCCCTTGAAGCACGGGCTGCCATTATAATTTTGTAAAATTTAGTAAATTCTCAAATTACATAGTTAAGTACAGTAAGTTGGAACTACTCCAATTATGCTTTTGTCTTTCCTCAAAAAGATCCAGCAGAACAGTTGATACCACATAAAATAAAGTATTTAGATACTTATCTCACAAGCTCATTAGGACAGCAGCACATCATTTTCCAAATCAGAGAGCCGGCTATTCCTGAAGAACTATCTTACAACAATGTTCCAAGGCTTCACTGCTCCTCATTTCCTTCACCTTGGTTATTATCAAAATTATATTTTACAGTCTTACCTCTTTATAAGTATTCTTTACTTCTTCTTGTCTTATATCAATTGACACCGATGACAAGCTTGAGACAGATGATCCTCTGCTGAAAGTTTCTGTTGACCGCTGAGGAGACCTAAGCGGTGACTTTAATAAATCAGAAAACAAACAGACAGAAAATCTTGCATCACCAGATTAGGCAGGTAACACTTACGCAAAAAGATTAGCGGTTTGCACTGGTTGTTACCTCAGAAGCACTTTGTCCCCTTTCAAATTTTAGATAGTTTAATTCCATCAATGACAAAATCTGCAGAAAAAAAATATTAATAGAGAAAAGGATTGTAAGTCCACTTCACTGACTCATTGATTGAAACAAATTAGTCAACAGCAGCTGACCAGGCTAAAAGCACCTGTTTAAAAGTTCACGTTCTATACTACAGAGAGACTGCATTCATACTATTTTATTTTTACTATTACTATTTTAAAATGTGATCATTCTTCCTTAATTACAAACATACATTTTATTAGTAACAAACCACAAAATGCTGTTAACAAGTAAGCACACACCTCTGTGGAACAGTGTGCATTAGGAAAAACAAAACAAAACCCAAGCCAGATGATAAAGAGGAATACCTTGGAATTTAATGCACACTGGAGGGACGTCTCTTTCATTCGGTTCTGAATGTCCGGGTTGGCCCCATTTTGCAAAAGCACTTCTATGATCCCTTGATAGCCCCAACGAGCAGCTATATGGAGAGGGGTATCTCCCTTGTCATTACCAACATCTAATCTACAGGAATGTACATCATAGTAGACTAAAGCTTTGACACACTAGAAAGAAAAAGAATGCCATCAATAATACCTTGTAATCCCTTCCCTCGGGGTCACTAAAAAGAGTTAAAAATCAAATAACTAAATATGCCCAATAATATGAACCCTAATACGAATACACAATAAAGCCACAATGAACTACTGAATAATGCCGGAGTTTACAGCAAAGAAGAGATACTCTTCAAATCTATTTCTTTTTTTTTTTAAATATGCAACTTTAGTGCAAATTGGCATCCCGGTTTAATTCTATTCCAATAGGATATCCATTTAGTTTGTTATAAAAAAATATTACTTACATCCTCATGACCATAAGTGCAGGCTAGATGAAGTGGAGTATTTCCATTATTGTCCTGCACATCAGTACTTGCCTTATAATGCAGCAAGAGTAGCTTAAAAGAAAAATAGGAGTGGACATTTAAGCAACTAAAAAATTAATGGACAAACAATTGTTGCTCTGAAGATTGCTTTGGTTTTCTAGCATGATAAAGCACTTCAGAAAAATTAGCTATGTCTCTTCTGCTTCAAATAGCAGTTTTAACAGTCCCTCTTGGCCTTACAGCACTGTATGCCCTACCCTCTGAACCAAATAAAAGCTGCTTCTTAGATATTCAGAGTTGTCGCTGAAAAACTGAATCATCCACTGCAGCAAACACAGCAGTATATACGCTACATGAAAATTTACCCTATGTTTTAAGAGGCTATGTAAGTGTGTAAGTGAAGACACAGGTTAATTTTAGCAATGATAACTCAAGGATCATGTATACAAAATTCAAGAACACACTAACTACATACTTAATCTATCCTCAACACGATTTGAAGTAATTTAATTTATCTCAATGACTGCAATGGCTCTTTTGCCTTAATCAAGAGCAGAGAAGCTATTAGGATCTCCCTTGCACTATATGTTCGAGATTTGCATTAATAAAACAGATTAATTCATCAGGCATACATAGTTGCCAATTATCAGTTAATAAAAATGCCAGAAAAAAAATATCGTGCAAATTCAAACGCTAATAGATCCTTAATTCTGCCAGCATACAGTTCTGGTAAAAACTCTGGAAAACCTAAATGACAGTAACAACAGAAAAGCTTGGATGGAAGTCATACATTTATTACTCAGCATAAGTGTTCATTTTTACTTCTGATTAAACCTTTTGGTGCTTACCGTGACATTCTGATACCCCTTCTGACAGGCAAGGTGAAGGGGAGTTGAACCATGGTAGTCTGTAGCATTGACAACAGCTCCTTTGGCTACTAATACATCCACTAATGATGTTTGCCCTTGGAAAATAAACCATCGTTAAAAGACAGAGGCAAATTTGGCATAAGAACACAGCTACTTTTCAAACTAAAACAGGAGCTATAAAGCACAACAGCCTGCACTCATTCATACTGTGTATTCACTTCCTTGCTTTTTGAGGAAGTGTATCATTCTACTGCACATCAATCAAGGTCACGGCTCCATAAAAGGACCTCCAGGTACAGGCAAGTCATGCTTGCATCTCGAGAGTAAGAAAGGATAGAGAGTAAAGTCATGTCACAAAAGTATTCTTCTTTTGGGAGTCAGGATATTTAAAAATAATAATTCAAAAAATCCAAACTAATACACATCTGATAAATGTAAAATTGATGTCATAATCAATAAAGACTGCAAGACACAAGATATTACAGACCAACCATGCTAACTGCAAACAAGACTCATTTCTGATGATGCAGTTAGACTTTTTTATGAGTGAGAACCATAACTATTGTAGTTATGTAGTAAGTAGTTGCTAAGGTAAACCTAACCAGCCAGAAAAAAAGCAAACAGAAAATAACTTAACCATAATAAACTAATCTTAAAAGAAAAAAACAACTTCAGTCAGGGTCAAGATAATCAGTTTCCATAGCCTATAGCTAGTAAATGATTTAATGTAAAAATGTATAAGGTAAGGAGAAAAAGCGCTAGCATGTCTTTTTTCTTTTACGGAACATAAGAAGCAGAAAGCAACAGTGAAGAGAAACAAGGGGACTCACCACATATAGCAGCTATATGAAGCGGTGTGTATCCCCGGTCATCTCGGGAAAATGGCGTGACAATGGAAGGATCATTCAGCTTCCTATAAAACAACAGGGGTTTAAAAGAAGCCGTTACCTATGCAGCAGGGATAAGGAGAAGAGGGGGAGAGAGAGAGAGAAAATGCCACAGCTTACAAGAAATGACTTTCAAAACTTTTAATCCTTTATCGGTTCATTTCACATCCACAAATTATTCTATAGAGTTTTAAGTTTAAAAGATCTATTTTTGCACATGACACATAAATCAGGTTAAAGACAAGAAGAATCTCTCCCAGGTCTACCAAAAGACATACAGCATTCATCACAAAATGTGTCTGGTTCCAAACTGTTCAGTAGTTTCCTTCTCATACCTGCTTGGGTATTTCTGAGAATATTCACTGTTTCCTCTGTCTTCTCAAAGTGTATGAACATATGCTCTATATCATATCTTGACATCTTCAATAACCCAAAGCAGTATAACTTCTAAAGGATATCTTAAATCAAGGCTTTCGTATAGCTTTTTGTGCATTTGCAGAGATGAAGAGTCCTTACCCAGAAACCAGCTTTTCACATTTGTCACAGTAACAGAGTGGATGACACATTTTCTGCACAGTGTCTTTATCACTGTCACCTTGACTTAATAATCGCTCCACTTCCTCTTCATCACCTGAAGCAATATGCTACAAAAAGCCAAGAGAAGAGAAGGAAGAACTGATATATAAGGTCTTCTAGAAGTTATTTATTGAAGCACAAAACCAAAGACACTGATTATGAAAAAGATATTCAAGCATTAGAAAGCAGAAATGAACAATGCCACAGCACAGACCCCCTGACGGGCATCTAGTATTAAAAAGGCTCTGTTCTTGGCTCCCCTCACCTTCTGGAGAAAAAAAAAGAAATCCTATTGTTCTCTTTAGACTCGGGGAATTGAGCTTCCTCTGTGCAAACACATTACTATAAAATTACCAAGCCTCTTGCCATAAGCTGTGAACACATATAATTAGAAGCTCTTCTCTGTATCCTTGTATAGGCACAATTCTTTTAGAACAACACTGGGAGACTAATACATAACATGAAGGGATTGTCAGGTGACTACACTTGACATTTCTCCAGCAAACTCTATTTTTAAGCAGTGAAAACTGTGAGAAACAACTAGCTGCTGGTACCGCATCTGTGCATTAAATGGGCAGATCAGTAACAGCAACAGCAGTACTTCATCCTCATTGACTTGAATATTTTTAGCGTATATGCTGAAATCTAAAATACCCTATTAACAACCTGCTGATGTTCTGGCACGGAAGTCCACTAGACTACAAACACAGTTTTATCATCTATTAAAACATACTTGACACCGCTAATATAAATAACCCTAGCTTCACACTATACTGCACTGAATTCCAGAAAACCCTACAAAGGAAGGGATAAAAATATGACTTATGTATGTATATGCAGAATTTTGACATTTAAAAAGGTATTTTAAATAAGGAATTTATTTACCTTAAACAAGCAATCTATAGGAGTGGTAGACATCTGGGACAACAAGTTCATCCTTTGTCTCAAAAGCAACTTGTCACACAGTCTTTCAGATTCCTGAAAGTAAAGCAGATATTCATTCACAGGTCAAAAGTAAGTACCTTAAAAATAAAGCTGATTTTTAAAAATATTAAACACTGTATTTACCATTTGTTAACTGTAAGGTACATTTAATCCTAATAATTCAGTTTTATATTTAGGATTTTAGTCCCAAGCCTTTAACACCCGCACAACTGCTTTTTAAAAGAAAAAATAACCAGATGTTCACCAGAGCATTCCTCAACCAAAATTCTCTATCAGCTGATTGTGCATTGGTGAAATTATGGTTGAATGATCTAAAAAAGAACACAGTAAAACTAGAAAAGATACAGAAAAGGCAACAAGATAGATAAATACATGGACCTGTGAAAAGAAATTAGGATTCTTCACCCTGAAAGAGATTTGACTGCAACAGTAGTGTACAAAATCACAAACAGTGAAGAGAAGACCTGCACAGAATGATTAAAAACGATCCCTCAAAATTCAAGGACTAGGATACCCCCAGAAGGTTAACACAGGTAGGGTGATCAGGTTGGGTAGGAAAAGAGGAGAGAGACAGAGTGGGTGGGTTTCATTTTTGTAGAACTGATTGCCATAGGACGTTACCAAAGTCAAAAGTAAAAAGGATTCAAAACCACACTAAACAAATTCATCTCGGACTGTGAGATCTTTATTGGTGGCTATTAAACAGGATGACCTAAATGCAACTCTGACTCAAAGACACTTCAGCTGATTGCTAGAGAATAGAAAGTTGTGCCAGGTGAAGGATTAATTCCATATTGGACTCATTTGTCCACTCCTTCCTACCAATCCCTTGTTGAAAATAGAAGCTAAGTCAATACTACACAGTGCAACTCAACATGGCAGTTTCTAGCTTCGCAGCAGTCCCAAAATGCACTTTAGGATGTGCTAAGACCATACATGCTTTCAAAGCCAGGAGAATATTTTTAGTAGAATTAGCCTTTGAAAAGGCCATATTTGACACTCACAACAAATCAAACGGAGACACTTGCACATGGTCATCCAAAAGCAACAACACCCGAAGAAGTTTTACTCACTGCCACCCACAGGCGGTGGTAAAACAGAACCAACTGTCCCCCAAGCCACAACATCTAAACTGCAGACTGCTGCTGTTCAGACGGACACCCATCATCACATCAACTTCCTCGGTGGTTCAGGATCCATTCTGCAAGTACCAGATACAAACGAATCCAAAAGCCTAACTCAGCTCCTAAGGTTAACAGTAAGGCAACTGGTCAAAATGAACTTCAAGAAATTAGTAGACTACAAATAGAAAGAATCACTTGAACACTAGAGATACAAGTTTGGCAGTTTTTATAAAAAAATGGTCACTAAGGATACAAAATCAAAGATGTCTCTAGTAGAGATGTCTTAAAAACACTGCTAGAACCAATAATGTTGTTATAAGCACGTCTACATGAAGTTTACAGAGATGAAAGTTCAGACCTGTATTTCAGTTTAACTTTTTTTTCACAACTAATATTTTAATACAAAGGTTTGAAAATGGAAATCACAGCAGAAAGCAAAAAGTTGCAAAAGGAATAGTAAAGATTTCTCTCCCCCAGCAAGGTTTCCTCTTTTATAAAATGCCTACATTCTTCAAAATTCACTCATCTGCAGTTTTGTCGATTCCTAGTGTGTTAAGTGCTTGTCAGGTCTCCCTTACAGCACATCCCCTTTAAATAACAGTTTTTAAAGCATGAACTATTTACGAACACTGTATTTAGATATTTATACAAAAGTTTTTCCTTTTTAATAAGAATAGAAGGAAATAAAAAACATTAGTACATATTTTATTACAAAGACAAGAGTTGTTGTCTAGCCTGATTTTTTTTTCTAATTTTATATTTATATCGTTGATAACCCCTGGGTGTGTTCTCAGAGAGATTCTTCAGTGTGATTAGAAATATCTTTTGTAAGAATTGATCAAATATTAAGAAAGAGGTTAATGCTTTACTGAAGAAACCAATTTTTGAAAATTCTATTCAGAATTTCTCATACAAATGCCCACAGACAGCTTAATACTTTGACTATTCAGAGGCAGTAGCTCGTGAAACCTAGTGTAGTTTTAGCAGTATTCCACCTACAAGGTACTTTATAAAATAAGAAGCTCCCATGTGTATTAATAAACTTAAAGCCACTTGAGGCAGCAATCCTAGTGCAGAAGTATCAGATGATGGTTAAAGCATTAAGCATGAAAATGGCTTCAAGAAAAAATTGTTTGTACCCATTTAACATAACCAACCTGTTCTAGGGAGTAAAACTATAAGTTTATTTTGAGGGTGAACCCTTCCCTGGTGTGACAGTTATTTTGAATCTCTTTTGTCTGGAAAATAAGAAATAACTAAAGATTAATGGCCTTTTACCTAATACTATATATATATATGTTAAAAAATATAGCTATGTAGTTCTGGGGGATTAACCACATGAAAACCTACCCAGGATTTTAACACATAATAGCGTAGGGCTCTCAGAAAGCCCCCTGCCCACCCTATTACAAGCATGACACTTCATTAGCCTCACTTAGACCAAAACCTTCCTTTCCCTCTGCCCCTTCAGCTTCCTCCTGACCTGCAGCAAGAGCTCACTGCAAGCAGCCAAACGCTGCCTCGTCCCCAGGGCTGCCCTCCACTGACTACCAGCTCACCCCTGCCCCAAGGTAGCACCTTCCAACTGTGCATAAAAGCTCAGCTGATATCCAGGTTAGTAAGTATTGGACCTTAGTTAAAAAAGGTTGACTACCCCCAAGAAATTTTCTTGTGCTACACGTTGCATGTTTCTTTCTTCCTTTGGACCCAAACTCATTTCTCCAGACTTGGATCATACAAGGTAGAGGGACCTAGCAGGTCTCTCCTAACCGCCCTTTTCTTGGTGACATTGGTGTCATCATGCTGCCCCTCAGGCCGCCGGGTAGGTTAGCTCCCTGCAGACTTCTCCTGCTGTAGTTAGTTCGGGACATTTGCCAGCAGCTCTGTGAAGCCAGCTATGAAATGAAATGTAGCTGCAGGAGTGGCTGTACTGCAGCCCCAGGGCACAGGCATGTTCCTGCATAGTTACATCCCATAACCCCTTCCAGCACAACCATCTGGAAACAGAGCCACGGACCACCAGCGCCATGGACCCTGCTTAAGGAGGGAGCTGATCTCTCCCCAGAATAAAGGAAGTCTTTCCACAGAAGGATTTTTGAAGGAAGATCAGGCAATGCTACATTAAGTTCCTACCCTTCTCCCTCTCTTTACTTCTTTTTCTATTCCTTTCAAATGACCACTTGGCTACCTCATTTCTGCCTCTTTATTATGTGCTCGCTTTTGTCCCTTTGTCCTCTGCAGTTGGGAAAAATGGTCTAGTTCCTTTATAGCCATGGCAAAGAACAAGGGGTCCTTCACCTCGTTGTCTTCAAAGCTGTGCTGTTTCTCACCAGCTCATCTAGGTGCTGCCTTTAAGCTGGATTGATTCTTATGAAAGCCAAGGCAGAAGAAAGTATCTGCTCACACAGGCACACACAGGACAGAGGAGGCAGCAGGAGGCTAAAAGCTGGCTCAGCTCCAGCCTAGTGATTAACTGAAGGAACCATTACTTGCTCTTATGAACATTGCCTATTGGTGCAGATGCTCTAACTTAAGCAGCATCAGGCTGCTCTCATTGAGACTTAAAGGATGTAGCTCCCTTCCCAGGACAAAGGTCCCCCAAAGGAAGCACTCATCAAGAAGCTATAGCCACTTAACAGCAATCCCAACTTAAAAGCTATTGCTATCTTTAGCTGTGCAAGGAGGGATAGGAGCAGGCATTCCACAGGAAGCAGTTTTTATTCTAACATTTTAAGAGCAATCTTTCCTTTCTTACAATTGTAGACTTTTTTCTTTTTTTTTTTTCTTTCTTTTTTTTTTTTTTTTTTTTTTATAAAGAGTTATACTTTGGTTCCAGTTCTCGATCCACACATCAGCATTGCTATTTGTATATTGATCAGCAACAGCTGCAGGAAGTCAAACTTTTTTTCCTTTTAAACTAATATTTTTATTGTTTTAACAGAATTCAATACAATATTACAAACAAGTATCAGCCACTACACAAAATCAAAGAGTGCTTTTTTTTAAGTGTACAAAACAGACCTATGCATGACAGGTTCACAGAAGAATCTCTGAAAAACCAAAAATAACAGAAGGCTAAAAAGTTTAAGTGCTTTTGCTCTAAGATTGTGCCCCAGGTCATCCCATCCAAGCCCTGCACACTGAGCCATTAGTCTGGCCCCTGCAATTGGATTCCAGCGCTTTGCAGTTGGGCAGACTGAGACACGTAGAATTCCCTCTGGTTCCAAGCTCACTCCTTTTGGTTTGCACATCACATTGGGAACACCTAGATTTTGCAACAGCAGAAACGTATAGGAGGCAGTAAGACTGGATCCATTCCCTAAACAAGCTACTAGATTTTAGATCATGGAACTTCTAGAGTCATATCAATGTCATCCTTCATTGCCCTCCAGCAATTTGACCTGATTGACAGAAAGTCCAGCAGCCCAGTAGGAAACAGTTCACGCATCCATAAGCTCCCTGCCCTTGCCAGGTTAGGGATCCTGAAAGCCAATGTGATTTTCAAACCACTAATATAATGCAGTCCTGCATTCCCACCAAACTATTAATCTAATAATAGTCTGTTGAGAATGATTTATAGATTTATAGCAAGATGATCCTATGAAGTAATTTGCGCTGCAAATAAACTGCTTTTTAGACAGCACTACACAAAGATTTATTGAAAAATTCCGCATTATTCTGTAACCTCCTGTTCTGATGTCTTAGCCAAACCTTTTAAAACCCCTAAAGAAAGTCTCAGTATTTCAGAGCTTAGGCCATGCTTTCACAAGCATGATTCAAAGAGGACAAATAGAAGGTACCAAAAATCTTAATGAAACTCAGCTGTCAAGTAGCACTGTTCTCCCCCCACCACCGATCACATGAAAAGGCAGAGTTGTTTGACACTTAACTGTTTGCTCCTGGAGCATACAGGTATTGCTAGGCTAGAATAAAAACTTCAAAGAATAAATCATTTCTGCATTTGCTTCAGATACATTTACTTTTAACCCACTCTTCAAATGGCAGAGAATAATTCCTACGTTCAGCTGCTAGCAGCCTCTCAACTAGATTACTCCCTCACTCTCCACTGAGCACTACACAGCCCCACAAGCTTATCAAATATACATGTGACAGGCTAAGAGTAGCTTACTGTTGATCTGTCAGAAAGGTTGCCTTGTCGGATATATTCTATCGCTGCCTCAATTGAGGTTAGACAGTATCCCAATTCATCCTTCACTGAACTGCAAAGCCTGAAGTTCTTGATGTAACTCAGGTTGGCCATCCTGTAATAAATGAAGTTAAAGCTATAGACCATTAAAGATAAGATGACACTTGCATGAGGCATCTTAATAGCGTAACTAATCTTACACATTCCAGGTAGACAAAATGTGCAGATTAGGACAAAACAAAGGGATTGTTAGGCGAGCAGTACTGTGGCTGTTGTGAGTGGACCAGAACTCTGCAGAGCAATAAAGTTACAGTTCAATGGAAAATAAAGATTGACTATAAGGAATACCAAAGACAGGGCAAAGACAGCAGTGGAAAATAACGTTTTGTACAATATATTCCTAAAGCATTATAAGCACTAGTGTCAAGTGATTGCTACAAATGGAAGAAATATGTTAATACCAGAAATCATATGGTGGATATAACTACAATTCAGTTCAGCTAGAGTCTCAAGGTTTAAATATACTTTTATAACAGAAGAATAAGATTAATATAATGGCATGTGCTAGCAGCAAGCAGTTAAAAATTCAATTTTGTTTCTATATAAAGTTGCAGCAATTTAGCAGCTCTCCCATAACTGAGGAAGGGCCAGTCTACTTTGAAGTCTGTATTGGATGTACAGATTTGGTAGAGGGAATCTTCTTCCCATACTGGGAATTAAGAGTAGAAGCACAACATTCTGAATGGGGATTTAATTTTTTCATACCTGTAATACTAACATATTGTCTGTTTGTCCTATTAAAAATAGAATTTTCTGCATTACATAGGTTAACTGGGTATCCAGAAGCATTTGCCTCTACAGCAACATTACACACAATATGATCAGCTTTGTACGGCCAAAGAAGTTACATACCAGTTTGGGATTTCTGTTTTTACAAGTAAGTATAGTAAAACAGAGAGAAGATCATCTGCACACATTGTCTCCATGTTAACTAAAAGAAAAAAATTATATTTGATGTTAGTCATGCAGTGGCTCAAACCCAGAGATGCACCATATATGAAGTTCTGCCTCCTAAGAGCAAGGACCAGCCCTCCTAATAGACAATGCACTAAGTGACTAACACAGCCTTTAGGTTCTCAAACACCCTCCAAAATAGGCTGTCAGGGATAAACAAAGAAAACATACAACTGAAGTATTTGATCAGCATTCTCTACAGAAAGAGAGAAGAGCACTAGCTCAAAAATTCTCAAGTTCATGATGGCAAAAACCCACCCTCAGTCAACATGCTTCTCCATAGGCCATGTGTCTTCCAAGAGGAAAGGAGATGCAGAGGTGTAATACGTAAGTTACCCAGAACAGAATTATACTTGTAATCTATACTAACACTTTGAATGCAACATGTAAAATGTTGTCTGTCCCCATCAACATGGTATTTTCGCAAAGATGCTTCTTGGGAGTAGTTTACACACAAAATTATCATGAAAGCATAGTCAAGTGATCCAGTAATTCTGTGTTAAAATGGATCACCCTCAGCTGTACATAAGCATTCTAGCATAGAAGCTTTCCACATGTTATGAAATATTTGTAGCTAGCCATGTATCTCATCTCATTCCATAAGAAGCACTGTTGAAGAATTTTCTATCCTGCCTCTTTTACCTCTGTTTAGAGACCTACCATGGAGATCTCATTCTACTTACTTATGCATTTTACCAATAAGTGGGTGATTTGAACAGCGTTACCAGTGCACAGGAAACACCAAGATGAAAACCAAAATACAAATTTAAAATTAGTCACTAATTCACTATGTACTGACCTCTTTGGCTAGGAGACTGCATAATAATTTGTACCACTTTTCGTAGACAGAGCAGCTTCTGTTGAGGGGAAGTACATTTGTTCAGCTGAGCCAGTTCTCGTTTTGCCCGTGGTATATTAAAGCTAGGAAATAATTTTTGATAAAGGTTAGGCTACATCAGATGGGTCTTGCACAGGATGTGCAAAACTCAACATTTAACTGACTCATTACTGAATAAGAAATGGTTTTAAGATATCTCTTCCACCTCCATCCAAGCATACTTGCATTTCTGTAGCCTGTAGATAAAGAAAGGAAAAAGGCATAACACCACCAAAGCCAAGATTAAGGTCAGTACAACCGCCCTGAAGTGACACTTGCCAAGCTTCATTTTTTCTGTCTCAAAGAAGTGAAAAGCATAAAAGAAAACTTGATATCTGTTAGGAAGCTACTTTGTCTATAATGAGTTCTATTTAAAACAGTCTCTTGAAGATTTCAAGTCCACACTGTTTCATCTCTCACCTGAACTCAGGCTTTACTCCAATGTCTTTTTGCTGGAGATCTTGAAGGCTCCTTGTGATTTTGTTAAAAGCAGCATCCTAACCAACAGAAAGGCAGCAACTTTTTAAAAATATGCGTTAGCATAACTAATCTGTATCAATCAACTAACCGATTTAACTTCACTTACCTCACTTGCTTCAATAGTCCCCACATATTTAAAAATTAAATCATAAATAGCATGGTGAACATACATCTGTGGAAAAAGAGTGGTAGCTTAGCCATGGAAAGGAGTTAAAAATAGCTCACTAAGTTTTTTCAGTTTCAGACGCTTACTTCTACTGCTTGTTTAATCAGATTCATCTGCTCTTCTTGCTTTGCAAGCACCTTCTAAAAAAAGAAAAGCCACACAAAAAAGCAAGAAAACATTAATGTTACCTAAGTAGAAAGTTACTCACGTAATAAATATTTAGGAGCATAAGTATTTACCAAGTGTGAATCTCTCAAGAGATGCTGGAGACATTTGGTATACAGTGCATTGACCGAATCCTATGGGTGGCAGAAGAAAAAGGAAGGTTTTTATATACAAGTTAATCTGATTTGAAGGAAGAAAGCAAACAAACAAGGGAGAAGTATGTAGGTTTCAATCTCTAAAGGGATGATTTAACTGAAAAATCACTTTTCCCCAGTAGCCAAAACTTGGTAATTCAGTTTAAAATTCTTTATCCCTTCCTGCATACCCCACAATTCTGGGCTGCTCTGACACAGAAAAAGTTCAAAAAGAGAAATACCCAAAGCAATGAAGTGATTTATATTTAGTAAGTTAAATACCACATATCAAGATACTGACTATGTAGTGACGCAGGCTTTTCCTTTCATGTTCTTTAAATGTTCTGTAGAAAGATCCTATGTATTTATCAAATCTCTCACAGTGCCTTCCCAAGAATTCCCTCGCATCTTCGATATTTTTAAGAGAGTAGGAAATTGATGAAGCTGTAGATTCAGCTGAAATGAGAGTCAATAGATAGCACGAGTTTAATACATATGCATAAAGCACTGTCTGTCAGTAGACATAGATCCAAATTGTGTGAAATGTAACACTAATTCAGACTAGTATGTTTAATGAAGATGTTACTTTTCAAGAAAAAAAGTTATGCATTTAAATAATGATTTTTAGTATAGGCTCTTTTGCCTTTTATCCCAAGAAATTCTTTGGACTAGCCAAAACACTGATTCTGCATGCTGCTCTACACCAGAGCGGTGTGAGAGACTTGAAAGCAGAGTAAGAAAAACAAGTCACTAACTGAATTGGGATGCCCATGCAGGCAGGGTGCTACTAGGGAGCAGTAAAATCCCATCTTGAGTTTTTGCATCATCTATTCTTTACTGAGGCAAGCATTCTTTTCCAACCATAATGATTCTATGATTTCTCTGGAAAAAAAAAAAAAGCCCCACAGAACTAAGCTCCGCTGGCAACAACTTAATATTTCTCTCCATCAGCATATCAGTAACTGCACCAGCATGTTAACAACTGATGACAGCTTTCAACTAAGAGAAGTGTTTTCAGAAATGTATTAAAACCACAAAGACACTAATTTCCTCACTTCGCAAACAAGACCAGCTCTTTGCCTTTCAACACATACCTGAGCTTTCTGTTTTTTCCAGTGGATGGGCTATACACAATATGCTAAAGCTTTCTTCTTTTTCATTGTAAAATGTTTCCTCAAAAAGAACAGGCACTGAGAGGTTGTAATTAAAACCAGTTCCTAAAATAATGATGTTTCCTTGTATAAAGATCTCCTGAAATGAAAAAAAAAGTGTCTTGAAACAAAGAAGCCATTCTAATCTTGCCTAAGCCTTGGTGTACTTGTATCTGTATACAATATAGGTAGGCTGCTATTTGCCTGAAATTAAGAGAGGCATTGAGTTCTTAACTAAAGTGCATTCTGCCAAGTCAAGATTCCTAACAGCCACAAATGGGAACTACTGCTTGGTTTATATATTCACACAAAAGATGTCATATCAGAAAGATGTCATAATGCAAAAATACCACTAATTCTTTACAAAGGTTCCTCAACAAAGCAGAAGTTGAAATCAGAGGCAGTGAAACTATCTGAAGAGTTCATCTATTCTCATTTAGATGTCAAAATATAGCCTTTCCTAGAAAGCAGTGTATCCTTTGGCTTAGACAGGCAACACACTTATTTTACCATTTAGCTAAGCTACTTCCTGTACTCATCAGCTCACACTTATCAACCGCAGTGATTCATTTAGTGGCATGTTATACAAGCTACATTCAGACATGAGAACTGACATACCTTTCCATTTAAGGTCTGAAAGTTTTCTTCAAGTGGTTTTAGAACATAGGATTCAAACTGGCAGGTAGAGAGACTGTTGCTTGAAAGGCTTCCTTTGCAGGGAACTAACACCTAAAAAGAGTTAGATGCACACTTCAGAGGAAAGATGCAGTGTCACCAGCCAGACCCAGCCTGCTTTTACCCATTATGGTCCTTGAAAAGCAAACAATTCAATCAGGCTTACAAATATTTACCAGCTGGTGTATAGCAGCCTTTTTTTCCTCCCCCCAACTAAGGACAGACCATTACTAGATCTTCAGTTCAATGATGATCCTGAAAGTTTTATTTTGTGCCTTATCTTAAAGTAAGTGATGTAACTCAAGCAAGCATCACGAAGAAGCAGATGAAGCACCAACCACCTGAATTACTTAAACAGCTAGTAACATTTATGAGAGTGCATTTTTAAATTTAAACTAAAAAATGACATCTATACGAAGGAAGAACAAGTCTAGGAATAGATCTAACCTAGAAGAAACATTATCTTGGGGCTACCGCACACTACCAAATTAACAGGCTGAGATGAATTCTTAAAACATGATGTGCTGCTTATTAACACCTGTATACACTTAGTCTAAATTTCAACCTGAAGAACCTTGAGTGCTAAATTATTCAATAGTATTCCATGCATAGCCAAAACCAAATTATTAATGAACAGGATAGAGCAGAAAGTTAACAAAGCTTATACTAATCTTTATAGTTGAACAGACACAGAACTCAATGCCAATTGCTACTGTTTAATAAGCTGCTTATAAATATATTTATACTTACAATACCATGAAATTCCGCAACTTTGCTACAGAGATCAGGACGCCGCTTCTGAATGGCCAAATAAAAGGGATTTTTCAAGAGATCTTCATCATACATAGCCATATGGACTTCAGATATTTCAAGTTTTTCTAAGATAGAGAGAATGGTTACTGTATCACTTCTGAGAGGGCACAGTATTTCAAAATATATAGAAGGTAGTTTGTTTACTTTTGTTTAAAAGTTTCAGATTTTGATGTAAGCTGCCAAGGGCATGGTTAACATTAGTTATTCAGAAAGAATAATATTCACAATATTTTTTCTTATGTAGTTATCCTCACTAGATCTCCCTAACTGTTTCCAGGGCTTTACTCTAACACTGTATTCTACGTTTGGACAAGGAGAGAAACTTTTACATTATCACCACTTTGATACAAGATATCTTGCATTGCTGAGGTCTAAACCAAGCCAAGAGTCTTCAATTAACAGCTCCTATGCAGCAGATTCTACTGCATCACAGGACATTGATATTTTTGGAGCAAGCTCATGGAAGTCATAAAATTGCCTTTAAGTATTACCAACTTGCACACGAGACACCCAGAGCATGCAACAGGAACCCTGGTGCAAGGCAACCTTCAACTTCCCAGAGAAAGTTACAGCAAAGAGGTACAAGCAGCAGCTATGAATATCCAAGTCTTAACCAAAAGGACACAATAAATTCATGGTTCATGGTCATCGATGATCTGAAATCATGCCAAGTTCTGGAACACTTCTGTAACGTATCATCACCGGGACTACTTTTGTGAATGGAAGTTTCAGCTGTAAGGCTAATGCACATTATTTGACAAATCTGTGAATAAAAAAGTGACTGAAAAGAGTCCCAACCTGTAGGCTATAGATGATCACTAGTTGTGTCACAGGGGAAAGATTATCTCTAGAGGCACTAAACTCCGCTTCCCACCTCAGTTCCAATGCTCTATACTGAATACAACACATGCTTTACACACACGAGCTGAACAACCACAATAGGTCAAGAATTATTTTATTAATAATAGAAGCACTGAGGTCTGCACTTCCTTCTGCCCTTCCCTCCCAGCTCCATTTTTGGAATCAAGAATTTCAGCATTTCCCCACAATTTCAGCTACGTGTCCTAGGAAGTGGCACAGGGAGTAACAGAACTTTATTTGAACGCACTGACCTTGTCCCAGTTAGTATTCCCTTGTGTTTTCTTCAAGGCATGACTACATTTAACACACCACATGTTCAATGAGAACTTGTGCTCATTCTGTACTACTTGTACCACCTAACTACCTAATGCTGTACTGGTAGCAGCAATATGCCCTTCTCTGGAGATGAAGGAGACATGAAAATATTGCATGGCAATTTAATAGAGTGGAAAATAGTACACCCAACTCCTGGAGACTTCTAGATAGTATTGCAGTTTCAGCTATGCAGCTAACCGATCTGCCTAGTCTGTTAACTGATCTACAGTCTGGTACCTCAAGGAGAGCTCAACTGGAAATCTAAAAACAAATACAACCCATTAAAATTGCAGGCAATTTCCAGGACAGAATTACCACCAGTTATTTAAAGCATGGGCCTCAGCTCAAATCATGGAAGTTTAGCAATTGCAGATAATTGACAAGCAGAATTTTGAAATTCCAATTAAAGCAAGCCAGTCTTTTTTTAATAAGATTAAATCATAAGATTAATATCTTCTGTGAAATTATATTAATTTAGTAGTTTTAACACTTTGAAGTACACACCTAAAATTTACTTACAGAAAAGGGAAAAGTTGCTTAGTGACTTTACAAGACCAGCTAAGTTCAGTGATTACAAGAGACTTCAAATTCAGCACAGCTGGAGCTTTGCAGAAGATCTGTCCTACTGCATCTAACTGAACACAGTATCATCACAAGCAAGTCCACAGGTGATGACTACTATAAACTCTTCCAGAGAGGCAGCTGCAAAACAAGCTCAAGCTGTGGGCTTCTCTAACCTGTGTGTGGCCAAGGGAACATCAAATCCAGCAGCGGGTCTGCTGGAAGAGGAGGTATTTAATCACATGTCCACAGACCAGACCTCAATAAGCAGCACTAACCAGCTATACAGATCTGTCTGCTGAACAACTGGCTAGGCAGCAATTCAAAGCATGATTCTAGCCACAAATCACAGTGCAAACAAGAATCAGAGCCACTCTTGCAAGGCAAATGTCATACAGGGCTGTGCAAACACATGGGGAATCTGCAAAACGCTCAACCATGGCAAGACTTACTTGAGACTCCTACGTCCTGCTTGGAGTGCTGCATTTCAGGGAAGATGGAACTGAATGAGGAAGAGCCTAAGCAAGAAAGTCAACAAAAACCTAAAAATCAGGGTCTAAAAGAACACGACAAGATCTTATTTAAGTTGAAGAAACTGCACAAAACATTTTTTCTGAATTAGAATTTTTTCCTGAATATGTATGAAACTCCTCTCACTAAAGAGGACCTGTCCTTAAGAAAGAGGCCTAGGCTTAAGACAACTCAGGTAACAGATCTGGAACTCATTTCTAAAAGGAATACAAACATGTGTTAGATTGCTTGGCAAAGTATCAAGTCCCCCCTATCGTAAATCTTTCAGAACCTGTGAAACAAGCCACTAGTAGAAGTGATATGGGTATGGTGAGGCCGGGAGGCTGGATTAGATGAACTCTCGGGACATCTTCCAGAACAAGGTTTTCTTTATGAAGCTGGCTCACCGAGGCAACCTCACCTCCCTTATCGGGTGAATTTACATTCTGTATCTGTTCAAGTGGTCAATGAGACTATGATCCTCCCCACACGACATGAGACTACACATCCCAAATAACTCATCTCAAATCACTCGGTGGGAGCCATGTAGATTCATCTACCACAGACAAAACTACTGATTGCATTGAATCATGCTTGACAGGTCCAGCAAAAAGTCACATGAGAAGAAAGAGCATTTGAACAGAGCGCCCTGGCAATTTAGCTCCTGTAACATGTCTAAGATGCCATTAACTTGCTGTAACCCCAATAAGGAAACTAAAATGTCATTTCACAAGAATGTTTATCACTCACCAAGAGCAGAAGCAGCTTGTGAAGGCTCTGAACTACTAACCGAACCATGAAGCAGTGCCCACATGTTCACGCAGGAGCACATGGAAGAAAACCACAGCAGGAAATAACCACCTTTAGCCAAATGAGCACTATCTTGACAGTCAGTTTTGAATTTCCTTCCCTTTTCTCAGTTTCTTCTTACCCCTGCACCTGTTCAAGTCCCAGCCAGTGCTACACTGGTGCATGACAATTATTTGATTAAAACACAGGTATGCAGTAGAAGAGTGAAGTGTTTGTTAAGCCAACGGAAACATTCACATTCACTCTGTTTACCTGGACCTCTCTTAGCTACCCCCAGCATTCTCTGCAGAAGGAAATAGAAATTGGGAGGTATAAGCACTGCACAATTTTAGTATTTTCAAAAACAGCAAGTCCTCCACATTGTGCTTAAGTAGCTTAAGTTACAGAATCAAAACAGTACATTGAAGTTTCCCAGATTTTGGCTCACGCATTTCTAAGATGAAGTCAATTTCTTTCCACCTCAAAAGTTAAGTGCATCTGAAAATACAGGCTAATGCATTGCTGTAATCCTAGAAAGGCATTAGAATATTCCATTGAGAATTTGTTGGCAGAATACAACATCCAACTTCAACCCAATTTAACTGGGGGTAGGGTAGAGGAGACTTATTCCTCTATTTTCCTTTTGGACAGCTTTAGATTTACTTGCATTAAGAAAGAAAGAAAAAGCACAAGACTATATATGCATTACCAGAACTGTTTAATGTTTAACAGAAAGTCCATTAAAAATTGTGATAAATCTTCCTCACTAGGATCTTTATTAAATTCTATCAGACTGAACTGTAAAGTAAAACACAAGTTCTAATTTCATATAAAAGGTTTAAATGAAAAATAAAGCTATCGCTTTGGTATAGCTTTTTGACTATAAACACACAGAAATAGCTCAGAAATTGCTGGAAGAATAGAACACAGCTGATCAGAGAAGCAATTCAGCATTGTTAGTGTTTAAAAAAACACAATCAAAATTTTAAGAAAACAGCTGAATTCTTTCTAGCTTAACAGCATAACAATAGCTTTTAATGATACATCTAACAGAAGAAATAGCTGAAGTGAAAAAATCCTATCATTGAATCTAATCATGTCACTGCTTTCTCCAAAATACTGGAAATTAAATCTCATGACTTTTAATACTGAATACACTGAGTGAGGCCTCACTGAGAGTTTGTCACTACTGGAGTTTTCCTTTAACATGAAGCCTTTTATAGGCCTGTCTGGTTTTCAGTTCCTTTTAACAAATTTTGAAATGAAAAGCAGGCATAGCAGTAGAGATTAGGTGATGTCATTACACAGTTACTTGAAGAATGTGGACATACTATTGTCAAACTTGTTAACTAAATAGTTGTACAGTAAGTACAATATCTTCTGAATGTTTTGCTACATTGCAATTAAAAATCTAACAAGACATACCACAGTGAAAAGACATCTCAATAAAATTAAGGACTCTAAAAAGCAGTGTTTTAATATAATGTTGAACAGTATAAAATTCAGTATTTTACTCTGCTGAAGGATAATTAAAATGCCTTAGTAATGACAGTAAGATAGGCCAACACTGGTTAAAAAAATGATTTGCCTAATACAGTAGCTTGTCATTTGTAAGAGAAGTAAGCTACACTGGGATTACACTACCGAGTACAGATGTGTCCTCTCTGTAAGAACACTGCTATGAAGAAACAGAATGGTTGCTAGTCATACCAAATTCTTCACAAATGTACATCCACTAGCACGCCATTCAAGAAGCATAAATCCACTTAATTTGACTTGTAATATCATGAAGTTTTACTCCTTATTAACCTCACATACCAACATCTCATCTTAACTTGTAGACTCCACAGCACGAACAACTAATCAGTAAATCAATAGCTAGGAGAATGCCACTTTGTGAAAGGCTCAAAAGAATGAGGAAAAAACAGAACAGGCTGTGACTCATTAACCATAATAAGATGTTTAGTTCAGAGAAGCAGCCAGATATACACTTTTGACACAAAAAGCTCAT